GGTGGGGGGAGGAATGCGTTTGGCGGGTACGTTGCGATTATAGCAATTGATAGAGCGCTGTTTTTTTTATTTTGTTTTTGTTTTATTATTATTTTTTGTTCGTTTGTGTTGTGTTTGGCGCATTGTGCTGCTTTGGTGGGTTGGCGTCTCTATTGTCTGTGGAGGCAGGGGACAAGAATGTATTGGTGCAGGATATGGAAGGAATGCAATGAGCCGAAGGACGGACCTTACGCAAGTGTGTGCCTAACTTCTTTTCTCTTCCATACTTTTGCACTCTTCACGTATGTTTTGAGGCATGTTTGGGGGTGTTGGGATCCGCTAGTGTTGTTGATCATGCGCTATTGCGTGATTTTCACTTTATCTCTCTCTTTCTCTTTCTTATTCTCCTGATTTTTATCATTCCTTTTTTTTTTGTCTGAATTCACCTATATGACTTTCTGCTTTCTTTTTTTGTGGGGCGACTGGTGTTTGTGTGAGTGTGTGGGTATGTATCTTTCTCCGTGTTTTTTTTTTTTTTTGCTACCGTTTCTTTGTGATACACATAGGATCCTGCGGAAATGGTTACTGAGGGAATGGAACAGATGCCCGCGGAGTTAACCTATTAATATGGGCAATGATCTAGTTGACCATTTTTTTTTTCCGTTTAGCGCCTTTTGTGTGCATGTGTGGGTGGACAAATATATGTATGCATATATGTAGAGCTATATTGATTCATTTTTGTTAGTGTCTGCGTTGTTTGTGGTAGGGAATTGTGGGGGAAGAGGTGCGGGCGCAATAAAAAGCCACATCTCTTTGTAGTTGCTCGGGTTTTCCCGCACGGCTCGGTATTAAGGGAGGAGAGATGGGTGCTGTGAAATGAGGAATTAAGGACTGCTGTAGAAACGATTTTATATTCTCACGCCTCTGCATGTACGCCCATTATTATTTGCGTTTCGGGTTGTAGTGTTACTGAGTGTGGGCAATGTGTTAACTGACAAGCCGCCGCTCAAAATGTCTTCTCTTCGCTCATTTCATCCTCCTGACCCTGCGCTTGCCTCTGTTGCTTCTTCCTTGGGGGAATGTGCCCTTTCTTCGTGTGTACACGTGCGTGTGTGTGTCATTGTTGCCTCTTGTTATTCAGGGAGGGGGGGGGAGGTGCATGTACCAGAGGCCGAACGTTGGGACTTGGGAGAAGTGGACAAGCATATTTTTTTTTTTTTTCAAGGGTCGGGCACCCGCAGTAACCCAAATTGGATGCCACTACCAACAAGCTGAATGGACGCGGATGAGGTGCGAGCACAGATGTGGCATGCTTGGTAAACAACACAGAAGAATATTTTTTGTTATTATTATTTAGCTGAAGGTGAACCACTCTGTTGGTAGTACCACTTGCTTCTTTTTGTTCAGATGTGTGCCCATGATTAGTGTGCATGGCGTGTGAGTTTTGATGGGTGTTTGCCACACTGCTATTATTATTTTTATTTGCTTAGAAAATTTAGGTGTGATATTTTATTTTTGTGTGTTTATGTGCGTGTTTTTTTTTCATGTGTTTTTTTTCCCCCTTTCAATGAAAAATATGTGTCAATCGCCGCAGTGGTGTGTTGTGAGAAAACGACAATAAAGGCGTTACACAAATGGTGAGACGCATTCATCACTATTGCTTCCATTACGTGCTTGATAGCTACGTTCCCTCTCCTTCTTGAACATTATCTTTTTCCATTGTATTGTTGTGGCAATTCTTGTTTTGGCGT